GAATACTTGGTTTTATAGTTATTTTGGTTTGGTACTCAACAACACTGGTGGCATCCATTTTGTCCCAGTTGGGAGCTGGAAAGTTATTTCCTGTTACGTCATTTCCTGCTCTTGAATTCCAAGTTCCGAGTACAACTGGAACACACTATTACTTCCAGATGTAATCCCAGAAGTAGGGAGAGGGACTTAACGTGCAATACATTTTTCCATCTGTAGGCGATGCTGTCCAACAAAAAACTCCAGGTTTCTGTAAAGTACAGAAACAACACCAGATGAAGGAAGTTCAGACTTGCAAATCTTTGTTCTCCGGCCGTAGATCTGTAGTTCTCTAGGGCCTTTTGATATTTTTTAATAAGTCCAAAATGCATAGCCATATTAATATTTTTCCGACATGGAGTCTTTTTTTCTCCTCCTAGCCCACAGCTGGAATTGGCAGATGCAGCTGGCAGAGGGGTGAAATGTGGAGAAATACACATAAATATTTATAAGCGAGTAAGACAGACAGCCGAGCTTCTGTCCTGCTGGAGCTCCATGGGAGGTGAGATGCCTTCAGTAGAAGAGGAGCTGAATCTTTCAGGGGGATAGAAAGTCAATTACTTCACGTCTGTTGGCTGACTGTTCTAAATGCCTACAGGGCCTCGGAGCTGGAGCCGGAGTTCATATGCACACACCCGCTTAATGATGCTACAATATCAGAGGCCTGGCATGCAGACTAGTAGGAGAAATAAATAAATGTGATGCTTGTGTTATGATGCTAATATAAAAGCATTCACTGGCCTTATGACTCCTGACACGGAGCCACTCCGGGAGGCGCCTCCTGGCTGCCGCGGTACCGTCGATGTCCACATGCTGATAGTCTTATGAAGCAGGGCAAATGTGAATAGATGGTGCTTTTTTTGTGGGGTGATGATGACCTTGATGACTGCGGCTTTGCTTTGAGGATTGTTTCATTTTGTTTATGTCAAACGATGCCAGACTCGACTTAACCTCTTTTCCAGTTGCAGGTCAGAATTCACCGGTTGTTCTGCTTAATGACCCCGTTCGACTACCAAAAGGTTTTCTCCTGATTCTGTGCATTTACGGGCTTCAGAAGCATGTCCGTAAACAATGGTTGGAAGGGATTGTTTGTGTGTGACTGAATGATTGAGGTTCTAAATCCATCGTCTCTTTTTGTGTCATTGGATCGGGAAGGCAAGGTTGGTCCGGATTGTTTTTAATGATGAGATCTGTTTTAGTTGATTTTAGTGATTTAGGAAATCAGGAATTCCGATGTCTGAACACCACCGCTGGATTGCTCCATCTGATGGAAACTTAGCATGTATTTGGTTTGGTTTCTTCTAGCTTGTAATTGGAACCAGTGAGTGCTCTTCACTGGAGGCCCGCTCTACCGCCTGAGCTACTGCTGCCACAGCTTTTGTGGGTGGCCAGTCCACAGAAGTGAAGAATTTTAGGTTTTGTTTTCAAACTTGTGATGCAGAATCATTTATTTTCAAATTTTTTATATTGTTCTGTCTTATTATTTGTTCAAAATGTAAAATGGCAGCCATAAACTGTTTCCACAATTAATTTATTATTCATTAAGCTCAGTTCACATGGCAGGAAATTTAAATTGTTTGACGACCTTCAAAGCAGGAGACCACACATAGATTTTTTTTTTAAATCACAGCTTTACCAGTTATCGTTCGACAGCGTGTGGTTTCCAGAGACACGGCAAAAACTACACACCACACACAAACCGATTTCACAATCCAAAAACCGCTCGAGACCAAACAGTAAATGGCCTGTATTTGTGTATTGCCTTCCACAGTCATAACCTTCTTTTCACACACTGGTGATAATGAGTTACGATGAAGCCACAGCTACCCTGGGGCGCACTGACAGAGGTGAGGCTGCTGGGCACTGACACCACCAGTCCCTCCGACCGCCAAAGGCAGGCACGGCGGGTTAAGTGTCTTGCTTAAGGACACAACAGCAGCATTCCCTGCCTGGAGCCGGGATCGAACCTGCAGCCTTCCAATTACCGGCTCTACCTCCTGAGCGAATGCTACAAAAATGCTACATTCTACAAAATCGACCATAACCTCGCTATTGAAGCGGTTCCGATGTCCATACGAACAGAACAGAGTTTTTTTTTAATTATTTTTATCTGCAGTTCCGAGGCTTTCACCCTTTCAGGAATTAAGTTTGATTTTTTTTAGAAATCTGTAACCCGCACCATGCTAAACCCGCACCTCCTCTCGTGGAGCCCCATGTGATTTAAACTGTAGTGATGTGTCGGTCGTGAACGAACCGGCTTTAAGAGCCGGCTCTTTGAAGTGAACGACGGGAGCCGGCTCGTCATTGGGAGCCGTCCCCTCCCCTCCCCCCCTCCCCTCTTGCTTTGGTGAAAGCTGCAGGCGATTGGTCAACATGTGTAGCTGCGTGTCCAGACTGTCCACACACACAGAGCAGTAGGGACGGGGAAGAGGGAGGATCAGACTCAGACAGACAGCAGAGCACATGGGGGCGGAGGGAGACGAGAGGCAATGAGGAGGAGGAAAAAGAAGAGCGAGAGAGAGGAGAGTGCGACGAAGACGGTGAGAAAATGAGCGCCAGCAGTCGGAAAGTGGAGATTTCATAAAGTGTTCAGTTATTAAATCCATAGAACTGATAAATATTTGATATATTGCATTTTTTTACATTAGTAAATCATTTTACATATAGTTTTGCATTATTTTGGTGATAAATGTACTCTACGCAACAGAAAATCTGAGGAGCCACTTGGGAGCCGAAAGAGCCGGCTCTTTTTGGTGAGCTGAGCCAAAAGAACCGGCTCTCTGAAAAGAGCCGGAATTCCCATCACTATTAAACTGAGCACAACTTAGCTTTAACATATAGCGCTAAACATCCCCTTACATACAGATGCCAATCACAGAGCATGTGCAAGTGATGAGGACGTACCTAGACTGATGCAGAGTTGGTCACCTTACAACATAACTTCAGTGTGAAACGATGTGTTTACCTCTTTTAGGGCCAACGGTGCGCGTTCACCATCGAGAGGTGTAGCTTCCACCCATTAACACGGATAAGGTGCTCCAGTGCTGTTTGACCAGCAGCACAGAGATGTTAATGATATGAAGATGCTACACTCTAAAGGTGCAATTATTGATGAATCTGGTCCAGAGACGTTGCGAGCACGGGGATCTCTAATTGTGATATTTACATCAAGCAGCTTTCTTTGACCAACTTTTAAAGTTTAGTTGTGATTGAAAATCCTGTTCATGTGCCCACATGTTGGGCGTTTTAAACTTCACTGTTTGCATTGGACACTTGTTGTTGTTGTGTTTGTATTTTCTGCAGCGTGTTTATTTAGATTGCTGGGTATGAGTGCGCTTACTGTGACACGTGGTGCAGCGCTGGATTAGATTAGACAGCGAGGCACAAGCGCCGACATGATGCACCTAATGTGTGTTCCCTTTGTCACCGCTCTGTTTCAAAGGAAATTGATCCAGACAAAAATCCCACGGGTGCTATCAGCGATGAATGGAGAGGAGCAATTAAAGCCAACGTGATATTGAAAACAGCAGTCTGTGTTTGGTCCAAACCAAGCTATGATTTTAAACTGTAGGACATCTGTTTGTAATGCAAATCCAGAGAGCTCAGGGGTGGCGGCGGTTATACCTCGGCTGGCTAGGGGGTCCGGCACGCTGTGACGGGCTAATTACCTTAGCTCTTTAGATTAGAGGGCAGCCATGCACGAGAGAGAGAGAATCTCTATCTCTGCCTCCTCGGTATTCTCTTCCATTACCCCTGTGTAAAGGTTTCATTTGAATTCATGTCACACAAAAGTCCCACTCGGTGCCCCCGTGCATCCCCAGGATAATTGGGTTGAAAGCTTCCTCCCTTCCTCCGCCCTGCCTCCCCCTTCCTCTAAAAAATAAATAAGGAGACAATGGCTGTGTGGCTTTCTGTGGAGAGGGTAAGACGAGATGAGAGAAGCCGCGAGCGCAGGGACCAGTTATCCTATCTCATAATCCTGGCCCTCCTTACCACTGGCTCCTGCGCCACATGGCATTTACATAAGGACCTGTGGTGCTGCCCCTAATTTAGCCTTTCCCAAGCACCTCCAAATATCCCCCAACAAGCTAAGTCTTTTTTTTTATCCATCGGAGGAATCGTGCGTCCTTCTCTTCAGCGGTGATGGGAAAAATGCTGACGCGGATATTCTCAAAGTGCTTTTTCAAGGATTAGATTTATTATAGATTAAATGGAAAAACTCTTTTGAGTATGTACAGCAGAGGAGGCAGCGTGAGCCCCGGTTTAAATCTTTAAAACCTCATTTTTCAAGGGTTACTTCAAGTACTTCTCTCCTTTGAAAGGTTGCATCCTATTCTGGATTCAGGATTAAATTCCTTACCGGTCGGCGTGTGGCTTTGTGCTTGTCCGTCCTCTTAAATTAGCATTTGTTTACTCGGTGGTGTGTGTCTGTGCGACAGTAGCTCCCCTTGTGTGATAATGAGCTGGTGTTGTGAGTGACTCTGAACACTAAGGAAGGTGAGAGGTTATCTCTCTAATGAAAGGCCTACCTGGGGGGGGGGGGGGGGGGGGGGGGGGGGGTAAATGAGATACAAGAGCATGGTTGTTCATCAGACCACCCACTGGCTTTTCCGTGTTAGCACATATTTGGTTGTGCATGCTACCAAAGTGAAGCAGCGTGCGACGCCTGTTAGCTTTCACAAGTGAGTGGCACCAGGCTTCAGGGCATTCTGCGTCTGTTTGTTCTGCTGCTTCCACGGGGACCTCCATTAGCTCCAATTAGCTTTCACTTTGCTTGCCCAGTCAGATGAAGCTGCACATCCCATTTAAATGGCTCAGACGAACCCTGTCACATTCACACTGTACTGTGCACACATTAGTACACAGCGGGGCGTTTTAAAAGATGCTCAAATCGAATCTGTTGGTGTTTTTATTCACACCTGATGTACACTTTCTAAGGTGTTCCTTCTCCCTTGTTCCTCCAGTGCTGCGAGACGACTTTAGACAAAACCCTACTGACGTGGTGGTGGCGGCGGGAGAGCCGGCGATCCTTGAATGTGTTCCTCCTAGAGGCCATCCTGAGCCCACCGTCTACTGGAAAAAGGACAAGACGCGAATGGATGACAAAGACGAAAGAATAACTGTGAGTGATTAAAATAAATACCTCGGAGCACCATTGGTTTTGGAGCATTTACAAAACCGTTACTGGTTGTTGGATTGGTCTGTCAGTGAATCAAGCATGGTCACGGAGAAATCAATTAAACAGGACGTGATTGGGATGTTTTTTATAAAATGTTGTGTTTCAGTTTCGAGGAGGGAAGCTTATGATCTCCAGCACGAGAAAGAGCGACGCTGGCATGTACGTCTGCGTGGGCACCAACATGGTCGGAGAACGGGACAGCGAAACCGCACAAGTGACAGTCTTTGGTACGCAGCAACTCTCTAAACTTCATAAAGACTCCAGATTCTCTTTGCTGTCCCTGAACACAACTCAACTTCACAATAGAAACATAGAAAAACTTTAGTTATTTTTTGAAGCAACTATACAACCAGTAGCAAATCTTTTAAAGGTTGACTGAAAAAACCTTTTGTTATGTTTTGTTGATTAAGTCAGTCAATCACTTTTAACTCATTTGCTGCCAGCCATTTCCTGATCAGTGAAGCCCTTCACTGCCAGCGTTTTTCAGCGTTTTTACTGTTTTTTTAAGAGTCACAGAACGTTGCAAGTTGGGATGATGTTGACGCCAAAACAATCAAAACAAAGAGGAGACTCACCTCTTACATCAGGAAGAATCTGCAAGTTTCGAGCGTTATCCGTTCTTTCATATTCCGTTGGCGAATTGTGATCGGCAGAAGCTTTTCCGGTACGCGCCTCACTTTTTTTTTTACAGCAGCGGCCCAAAACGATCTCCTAACACATGGATGTTCTGCTTCCTGATCACATGACGTGTGACGCACGCGGATGAAGATCGGCTTTAGAGCTGAGATTTTTGTTCTCTCGGCGTGGGGGCTCATTCCGACACCCCCAGAGTAAAAAAATAAAAATGACGACTTTAGTCATCGTTGGCAGTGAATGAGTTAAAATATGCAAAATTGTATAATAAATGGTAAATGGCCTGTATTTGATATAGCGCCTTCTAGAGTCCTGGAACCCCCCAAGGCGCTTTACAACACAATCAGTCATTCACCCATTCACACACACATTCACACACTGGTGGTGATGAGCCACAATGTAGCCACAGCTGCCCTGGGGCGCACTGACAGAGGCGAGGCTGCCGAGCACTGGCGCCACCGGTCCCTCCGATCACCACCAGCAGGCAACGTGGGTTAAGTGTCTTGCCCAAGGACACAACGACAGTGACAGACTGAGCGGGGCTCAAACCTGCAACCTTCCGATTACGGTGCGAGCACTTAACTCCTGTGCCACCGTCGCCCCATAATGAAATTTTTAGACAGGGAAACCTGTATTTAGCTGAAATACAGATTTTTATTTTTGAGTCATCTACAGAAAAGCATCACTTTCTTTGATTAAAACATGTTTGTGCTCATTGCTAAGGAAGTCCATCAGTACCACTAAAACAGTTGGAGTTTCATCCCCAATGCTTTTGTTTTTAGCCACCTTTTCAGATATTTACATTTAAATGAAAGCACATTTGCTGCTTCCACATAGACATTCCCATTAAATTACATAGGATCACAACAAAAGAGAATAAATAGGTTGGGTTAAGAGTCGGCCTTCATTCAGAGTCTTGGGTTTAGTTTGGGCATAGATGTGATAACATCCTGTTGAGTTTATCATTATTATCATAACTGGTGCTTGAAATTATAGCCTTTGCTGCTCCTCCTCGCAGAGCGACCAACCTTCCTCAGGAGGCCCATCAACCAGGTAGTTCTGGAGGAGGAGACGGTGGAGTTTCGCTGCCAGGTGCAAGGAGACCCCCAACCCAACGTACGCTGGAGGAAAGACGACATTGAGGTTCCTCGAGGGAGGTGTGTACTTTTAAACTGATATTCTCAAAATGGTGGCTTGTTTCAATAAGAACTCCTGGCTATGTTCCAGTATGTGTTTAAATGGGCTTAGTTTAAAAAGAGAAGACGCTTTACCCTTGGATGCCAACGGCATCAGGAGAAAATGGTTTTCCAGAAGAAAAATATTAATTTTCCACGCAATTAAACCCACGTTACAGGTAAATGAGCAGGTGAGCAGAATGGGGGGAATGTAGGAGAGCATTAAAGAAACCTTCCACACTGTTGCGCAGACGAATAGAAACAAGAGACGGAAGATAGCCGCTAATGTGACTGCAGCTGTTCACTGGGAACCGTGGAACAGACACCTCTAAAACCTGGAAGATAATGACTACCTTGTATCCAAATGAAGCTCCAGATGGTGCCTCCTTGCAGATATGAGTCACAAAAGCAGAAACAAATATGAATTTTTCTATTTCCTCTGGAGTTTAATGATCTAGTAAGAATACTGATGGCCCATTCGTGTGTGTGTGTGTGTCAGCTGATTGCTTCAGAGTGACTAACTTATGGTCAGCAGTAGTGGTGTCATTGTCAGGACCGATCTTCTAAGAGACCAGCGTTCTCTTCTGCCTCCAGCCAGCAGGCGGGTCGCACGCGTCTTGGATCGCCCCATAAAACATGGCCTCAGTGGGCCTGACGTCTCCCGAGGCTAGCGGCGGAGGCGGCTTGTTTGCGTCTGATAAGGATTTGGTTCACTGGGCAGTGGGATAAGAGCCCCGTGCCAAGGCAAACACATAAAAGCAATTCACTAAGTCTTTGATGGGGAGTTGGCTCTAAAACGGAGTTCATTTTCTACACTAATTAACAGATTTTCTATGGAGTCGGATATCTGTCAAGAGTTGAGTTCTCGCTAACTCTAACATCACTTTGAAGTTCAGGCACATTTTGGATGATAAACATGAAAAATACAGCAAGAACTGATAAGAAATAAATGTTGTATTGCACTGTGGGACTTCAGCTTTCTTTGGGGTATTGAATACAACCAGTAAAGACAAGAATTGAGACTAAATATATTTTAATTCTGACATTTTCTTTCACTTTGTTGTTTGCCAAACAAAAAAAAAAAGGAAAACCTGTCCATACTTACTTTATTCCTGTAGTAAATACCAGTAAATGAGTTCTGTCTGACTGACAAAGGCTGTTTTCCATATTAGTAAAGTTTCCATTTTGATGACTGTCAAATACGCTGAAGACAAAGAAGAATGGTGGCTTCACACCCCCAGCTGGATCAGGAGTTGTCCTCACCAAAAGAACAGACGCCTACAGAAGATCAAGCAGCCCTATAGGCAGCGGGGAGTGGTCTTTGTTTGCGTTTCATCTCCAAAGGTTACGCTGTCCTTATTATTATGATAAGCTGTTGAATGAGATCGACTCCGTGCGACCGCTCCTCTTCACCATCGAGATGTTTCAACTTGTCTTTGCTGGTTGCTTTACACGCCTGAGTCTCTCTGTGGGTTTTCCGATTGTGCTACTTTTATGCAGAAGAGAAACGGAGCCTCAGCTGAGTAAACAGGTTGTTAGTATGCTCAGTGGCTCCAGCTGCCTCACAGGCAAGCACATGCACACGCATTGGCACCGCGAGCGAAGACTTAAAGCGCCAACATGGCAGCGGCTTTGGTCTCTGCAGGACAGAAGAGGAGGTGGAGATGGGAAAGGGAAACTTTCAATTAGAAGACGAAAAGAATGATGTTCTTTATTTACTGTATTTGTAAAAAAAAAATCAACAAAACGTGATCATTTGGCTTGGCGTTGCAATGTATGTTCCGTTTGTTTATGTTATGGTGAGAAATCTCAGGAGAATCCTGTGAAATGACTGAAATTAGTCAGGCATGTGTCAGAGTGAATGAAAACGTCAGGAAACAACAGGTGCACCAAGATGATAATCAAACATGTGGAGGAAACGTTTATGTTGGCTCTTTAGCTTTTTCACACATTTCCATTCATGTTCCTGTCTGTCATAGGGCTGCAACTAACGACTATTTTAATAGTCGACTTGTCGCCGATGTAGCGTTATGGATATGCTATTTTCTGCCCTTAACAGCTGCCCTTTGACACAGTGACAGTGTGCATAAATTACCAAGATCGTGCGCTTGCTTCTGATGTTCACATTCTAGCAAAGACGACAGAAGAAGGACGAAGAACGCTTTTCATTAGTTAATCAAAGAACTTTATTTTTAATAAAGCTAATCAAAACAACTTTGGTCAATAATAATCAGGTGACCGATCTGTGAAATCACAATGTTATGATTTATGTGTTTTAATGAATAACAGGACTAACTGAGCTAGACACCCTGATCCACATAAGATAAACACAGAACTCTGCCCCGCAACAGAACGGAAGTTCTGATTGGATGCGTGAACAATGTGTCATGTGTTTATCTTATGTGGATCATAGCTCAGTTAGTCCTGTTATTCATTAAAACACATAAATCATAACATTGTGTTTTCACAGATCGGTCACCTGATTATTATTGACCAACAGTTGTTTTGATTAGCTTTATTAAAAATAAAGTTCTTTGATTAACTAATGAAAAGCGTTCTTCGTCCTTCTTCTGTCTTCTTTGCTAGAATGTGAACATCAGAAGCAAGCGCACGATCTTGGTAATTTATGCACACTGTCACTGTGTCAAAGGGCAGCTGTTAAGGGCAGAAAATAGCATATCCATAACGCTACACCGACTATTGAAACGATTAGTCGACTAATCGGATAATTATTAAATTTTTCTTAAATGTAGCATGAGATTGCTTTAATTGCGTGAAAAAATGATAATACACACAACGAAGATGGGTACTTCAATGGAAAATGCATATTTTATTGAACTTTGCTGCTGATAGGCCAATCCATGCTAAAAGTCAATAAAAATGCCCCGTCTAACACCAATTAGGCACACTGCTCAGTCACTATAGAAATAAATGCATTAATAAAATATAAATACTTTAGTCAGACACAGTCGGGCGTAACATTAAATCTCCTTTTTTAAAAGTGAAAATATGTTCTAAAAAAATGTAAAATGTACATCCAAAACAAAACGTATCGGCTTTCGTGTTATTTAAATCTTACCGAGGTGAGTCAGACTCTGTTTCATTCAACTGTCCGACGTGCTTTCTCTTTAAGCGTTCATGCATCATCGAGGCGCTGCAGTGATACGCGAGGACTCCTTTGCAAACAATGCAGGTAATCTTTATATTCGCTGAATCCAGGCTAGAATGCTCCCAAACTTTAGATGTTTTGGTACGCGTAGCTTCCGTGTTGGACGCCGCCATTTCTGTTAGTTGGCGCTCTGCAGAGAAGCTATTGCGCATGTGCGACTCTCGGCAGGGATTGTAATAAAGTGAGATGTCTCACTCTGTCATAAAAAAACATGTCTGGCGACAACGTTGACAATGAAATTCATTGTCGACTATTTCTATTGTCGATATTTGTCGACAACGTCGACGAATCGTTGCAGCCCTAGTCTCTCATGACATAGTTTTGCTGTTTTGCAACATTCTGTATAAAACTCCAGAAACCCTGGATGTTGGGATGTTACGCTGGAGTATTTTGTTTGATTAAACGTAGACTTTATGTTATTTACAGAAACTTGGCTTTCATTTTAAATGTTTTATGCTTTAAGTATTTAATTCAAGACTAAATAAACAATCTTACTGTTTAAAACTTGAGTTTTTTTATCTTAATAAGTTATAGCAATTACAAATAGCTGTGTAAAATAAAAAAGCAGCTGCAAGGTCAGAGCAATGTTCTCTAATTACACACACATTTAAAGTTCACTACATGACATTAATAATAGAACAAACACCCATCAAGATTGCATCGTTTCCTGTTTCTGGCCTCGTTTCAGATTTTAAAACCTGATAAATCATAAAGAAAGTTTTAGAAAAGGAATGAGCTGAAATTAGATCAGCCCCGTTTTCTGACTTCATCTTGATAATTTCGGAACAGGAAAACCTTTGACTTTTAATGTTTCTACACAAAACTCTAACTGATGTCCTGACCTATTAAAACTAAAACATTAGCTGTCTCTTAGGACAGGATCTAAATTAGAAGACAGCTTGTTTGTGGGCTGAGAAACAGGAGGTTCCTGGGGCTTTTAATTGTTGCTGGGGTGGTATGAGAAAACTGAGCTTCAGGCAGGATTTAATTCATTTACCAGCATGAGCAGCTTTTAACTCCCTGTTTCAACTTAAATGGATTGTTTTCCTGCTTTTATGTGATTAGATACAGATAATAAAACTAAAATGTACTTTTACTCTTCGATTTTTCAATATTAAGGCCCGCTTCCATCATCTATGGTGGAAACAGGCTTTTATGTTATTTTTAGTTCTTGTTTTTAATTCCTGTTTTATTCCTTGTCAGGTCGCTTTTATTCATTGTTTTATCCTTTTGCCTTATGCTCTACATTTTATGTTCTACATTTTAACTTCTCTTTTTATGACTATGTCTTTTTACAATGTGGTCTAGCGCCTTGCTGGCCGGAAAAAGGTTATGGAAGGCGCTATATATAAATAAAGCTTTGATTGATTGGTTGATCCAAACTATCAGGTAATTTAACTAGACCTTTGGCGTGAACATGTCTCCATTTCAATGGGCGGGCCCCAAAATGACCACATTCTGGTCCCATAACTTGGGGTAAATACACAGAAATGGCCCGTTGGTCAGCTCACGCCGATTGGTTGCGACCAAACAACCGGCATTTGTAGAAATGGAAGCATTGTGAACGAGGCAAAATGGATGGATAAGAAAATAAGGAGCATTCACACTGCTTTAAAAATGCTGTTTCTGACCTTCCAACTCAGTAGAATACTGTGGAGATTCTTCCACAACTCTCACCTGGCAAACCATCCTGTATGTACCAATATAGTCTGGCCACGACCAATCAATAGAGCTCAGTCATAGGGGCGGATTCTACGGTTGTCTTTTAAACTGTCTCTACACAGAGTTTGACACTAGGACCCATCAGCAACAA